CCCCCCCCCCCCCCCCCCCCCCATTGAACCATCTTCACCATCTTACACCATATTCACCACCTGACAACAGCTGTTCAGCTGAACCATCCTACACCATCCGACACCACACTACAAGCGTCTGACAAACAAAACATCTTACACCATCTTCACCACCTGACAACCGATAGCTATATTGGACATATATGCCGAAAAAAGATGGAAAACTTCGAGGAACGGGAGGCTCTGTTGTCCTGACCTCTCATGGGCCCAGTACCGCTGTAGGATTACAGAGTGTGGCATATTGAGAATTAAGGCTTGGCTGCAGTAACTCACGTCGCCTGAGATTAAATTCTCTGTTGCCAGACATGGCTAGAACCAGCGCGTATGTCAAAATCGTTCTAACATCGCCCGTGACCTGCTCAAATGCTTGAATAATGGCATATACATGGCCGAGGTAAACAACTTTTGACATTTCGGCATGGCACTGTCGGTGGTTCAGACACTTTGCTTGAGATGTTGTCAAACGATTTTGTTAACTTTTGGTACAACCAGTCTTTCGCAATTCTCTGGGCGAGGATATTTATTGATTACCTCGTCCAGTTTCGTCTTAGGCAAAGTGTCTTTGACTAAATCACTTATAATATTAGCCAGTTTGTCGTCAATTGCCGGTCCCGTTTTGTCTGTAGATAATTTTCGATGGCATCCGACACATCGGGTAAGGGTTGATCACTATTTGCCTCAACATCGCCAGAGTTTGCCTCAGGCTTGGGAGCGCCAGAGTACTCCTCAAACTGTCTGAGCATATCGTCTGTCATGAGCGACATCATTTCAGACATCATTGAAGCCATCGACTCTTTTAAATCAGTCGTATTATCTGTGGTCAAATCAACAGATTGTTCCGTGTTTGTTTGGTCGATCAGTCATATTCACATGTATATAGTATGGCGTATTTGTCACGCTTCATTGGTACGCGTCTACAAGGGAACTATAACTTTCTTCCCTTCAAGCGGCAAATATAGCCTCAAATGTGGCAGAGAGACGCAGGGAAACTATAACTTTCTTTCCCTTTATAAATTTTGCAATGGGAAACTAAAACTTTCTTTCCCAAAACGTCATTAAAACGACGAATACATACGGCTATGAAATTGTGCAATGTTATACAAAATCATTATTCAAACGATTGTCGACTTGTCGTAAGGGCTTTACTTCATCGATTCGATAAATACCTAAACAACCTGAAGCATAAACACAAATCAAGCAAATAAATTGGAAAATAATTACCTGAAAAAGTTCCCAACACTCGCGTCCAATTATAACGGCTACACAACTTGTACTGACTCATGGCAACACACAGCGTGCATCTCATGTTAACCGGAAGTACGTAACTACGGTTTGGTATAATTACTGTTTGCATATAGGACAAGGTTATATAGAGAATTAAAATAAGTACTGTACATACTTACGTACGAAAGAATTGAATGCTGTTGTCGGTCTTGATTTCATTAAATTTCGGCTTTATTTGCTTCCCCAACTCTGTTGTCGGGAATGCCGTTAGAGACTAAATGCTAAGCCAACACAGTCACAATAGTTTGGGTTTTTCTCTAAATCACTTTACGGATCACAAAATCACTAGCTCGATCTAAATTCACAGTCTCAACAGTTACGCTATCACTTAATCACTCTTATAAATTTGATACTCTATTTAATTAACTTATGACGCATGCATTATTTGATTGACAGTTCTTAATAACTAAATACATATTATCCTAATTAACTAATATTACCACAATTCTCAAGCAACACACTCCCCCTATTCGTTTTCTGTAAAACGAATATGAATGAATTGTGTTTTCGTTCACCGTTCATAATGATTGATTTCGACTATATGTGTAAATTTGACTGTTCGTAACCTAACAAAACTTAAATTATATTGTATTATTACTCAAGATATATTGTTCTCTATATGGCTGAATATGTATCTATATATGAGTAACGTTCTAATTCTGTTCGTCACCTGCTATGTCCTGAATTCGACATTCTGCTATCGCTGCAGCATTTCTCTTTGGTCTGAACTCGGGTACATCAGCTCTCATTTCTGTTTCTCTTGGTCTCGACTCTGGCGTCTTTACGGCTACGTCACAGGACAGTTCCATAGGGTATAGGTGTTGAACTGCACGTTCTAATGTGTTCTGTCCTACTCGTAGTTTCGCTCCCCGTACGATACCGTCTTTACCCACTTTCTTTTTCCACTTTCCCCGATTCTGGTACCTAATTGGACCCGCGTAGTCGACCCCTACGACTTGGAAAGGCAAATTAACCTCAGTCCGATCTTTCGGTAATTCTCCAGGTCGTGGGTTTGGAAAATGTGTTGCATGGAACCGTCTACATCCGAAACAGTTCTTGATAACTCTTCTAGTAAGTCTCCTCAGTCGTGGAATCCAGTGGCTCTCTCGTACCTTAGCCATAGTCAGACCCACTCCCCCATGAAGGGTCACATTGTGGGCATGTCCCACTAGTTTCTCGGTGTACATGTCATTGTCTGGGAGGTAGGTTGGGAAGGCTCCTTGTATTCTGCCATGACATTCAAGAATGCCACCATCACTCGGCTTAAGTATTTCTCGTTTGGATGCTTGTGCTTTTCCGGACGGTATCTCGATTTTTATGACGTCATCTTTCTTGTCCCAGGAAAGACCGAGTATAGTGCTGATTGGCCCGATTTGACCCCAAGCTGCTGTTTCGCGAATGCCTCTCCAGTGGACGATGGTAAATGGGTTTGTGCGTCTTCAAGGGCAGGGACGTTTGAATGCCATTTATGGAGCTGAAATGTCGCGTCGTTAAAGATCTCGCGGGCCGTTTCTTTGAGTTGTTGGGCTTTCTCGATTGTTTCTCCACCGCTGACCAAATCGTCGACATACAAACTCTTGTTGATTTCTTTCACGGTTTCCGGATGTTGTTCTACGTGTTTCTCGAGATGTTGTTGGATAACACCACCGAGTAGGAATGGGGAAGGAGACAGTCCGAACAGGGCTCTCGTGAAGCGAAGTGTCACTACTTCCTCGGTCTTCAAGTCCTTGAACCAATGAAACCGCATGACGTCACGATCTTTTTCACGTATTCGAGCCTGAAGGAACGCTTGCTTCAGGTCCCCAGTTAGAGCCACGGTATGATATCTTCCACGAACCAGGACTTGCCAAAGGTGGTTCTGCAGGGGTGGTCCGGTTTCAAGACATTCGTTCAAGGAAGGGGAATTCTGGTTTTCCCGTGATGATGCGTCGTACACGATTCTTAGTTTCGTTGTTTCTGCTGATTCTCTAATCACTGCTTTATGGGGTAAGTAGAACTCTCTATCTTGTGCTTCCGTATCGATCTTTTCTACGATCCCTTCCTTGATCTGCTCTTTGATAATCTCGTCATACTGTTCGATAATGTTCTGTTTTTCCAATTTTTTTATTAGGTTATCTAGACGTTTTAAACTGCCGGATTTGTTGTTGGGTAAGGGGGGATGGTTTCCCTTCAACGGCAAACTGGTCTCGTACCAGCCCTCCTCGCTTCTCGTTAGCTGTTCTTTAAACTCGCTGTAAACATTTTGCTGATCCCCTGTTGCGGAATCTCGTAAACCTAGGACATCTAATCCACATAACTGTTCATAATCTTCGCGATGTACTTGGGTTAAAAGCATGTTATTCAGATTTATTTCCTCACCGGGGGACATGATTGTCCAGCCAAATTTTGTGAGCTCAGCGAC